AGCACAAGATTCCCCTTGTTAGTTATTTGGGAGCTGGTTATTGAAATAGTGCTTGCATAAATCACAAAAGGCGTTTCCTTAAAAGCATGTGCATGTAGAATAGGAATGCATGTGAAATTTGATTACACGCCGATCTATGCTCCACTCCACAAGCAAAAGAAGAAAGGGGAGGCAGAGGAGAGAGGTAGAAAGAAGACTACTTTTATGCTCAAACTGTATTTTTTTATTTTTTTATTTTTTTTATTTTGTGGGTCTTCATTGAAAATTCCAAATCCTTTATCTTAATTAAAAAATAAAAATAAAAATAAAAAAACATCGAACTAAGTGACTATTATGGGCCTCGCAGAACTGGATGCAGGGAAGGCCGCTCAGTTGAACCATAAAATGAAAAAAATAAAAATAAAATCACGCCTTCCTCCTTTCTCCCTCCCCCTTATATGGAATCCGAGAGAATCCGAGAGAGATCATCCAAACTGTGGCTGATCAAAACCCCACAGTACAGAATCTTCGGTACCACTCTTTTTCTCATCTTCCTGCTTCTTCCAGGTTCCCAATTCACGGCTCTTTGGAATTATTATTATTGTTAATATTTTTGCACTTTTCAATATTGATTTTGATTTGGTTTGAGATCAAATGTTGCATGATCGTTTGTTTACGTAGAAAACCCTTCAAAATTTTGAGATTCTGATAGATAAGTCTTGGATTCTGATTATAAGTGAAATTAAAGCTTCTTGTAATCCCTTTTCTTGTTATCTGTTTGGAATTTTCACGATTTAGTTATGATTGTTGGAATTTCCTTCATTTTATTTTGTTGCTTAGATCGAGAATCATTGTTGGTATATTCTGGTTTCTTTACCTCTAATTGGGTCTATGTGTTACTGCATTCTAAGTTTTTGTAACTATTTGATTTGGGATCATTAAAATTGGGACGCCTTGATTCTGTAGACTATAGATGAGGCAGAGTGCAGTTTTTCAATTTGTGATAATCCTTTTTATGTTTAGATAACTTCAGACCAATAATTAAAATGTTACAAACCCATTGGGTTTGGCTAGGCTCAAGTGCTAAGGATGGATGCAAATTATGTCTCAGAATGCGGATTTGAGTCCCTCTATTGTCATTTGGGTGCAAACAAGTCCAATGGGCCACAACCACCACACTACTAAAATTCTTTTTTTTTTTTTAGCAACTACTTAATAGCAACATAAAATAGCTTATTAGTGATATAGATTTTCACCGACAAGGCTCATGTTGTTGATGCTGATTCTCCGAAATAGTAAACCTAATGTTTAGCAATAATGAGCATGTTGTTGATAGTCAATTTCAACAATAAAGATCATGTTGTTGAAAAACTTTATTGTTGAAAAATAGTCAATTTTATACTCATCATCAATCCATTGCCAAAAATGTAGGGAGTAGTTATTATCATCTTTAAAAGAGACATCTTCTTTGGTACAAAAGGCAAAACCCTACCATAAGTACTAAACTTATCTTAAATTTTCTTTATTAGACTTGTAGAGTTTTATTGATTTTAAATTTTTTTATTAAGCTGGTAAAATTTTATTGAGATAAATAAACTTTTAAACATATCCATGTAGGCAATTTAACTTTTTTTTTTTATAACGTACTCAACATCGGTTTATGGATCATTTGTGTAAATAAAATATTAATATTTCATTACTTACTTGATAAATATTGATTTTATCTATGTAAGTAAAATATAAATCAACATTAAATCCATTGCAAGTAAGAAAGTTAAATTGTCTAAATCAACAAATTCAATCAATTACCTACTTCAATAAAATACCAATAGTGTTATAAAAAATCTAGAATAAAATAAAGAACTTGACATAAGAGTTTGTCAACGCAAAATTCATAAACTTATCTTTTTACCCTTGTTTTATTTTTTTTTTATCAGGTTACCAAGGGACTACGAAACCCAGCCCAGGGGAAAGGGGAGGAGGATGGCTTCGAATTCGAGGCCTATGAGTTCTCCTATGCGGAGAACTACTAATTGCTCTACATAGGAGTTCTCATCTTTCTACCCTTGTTAAAAAGTTTTCTCTCACATTTTTTATAGACAATTTTTCTATTAATTTTTTTTATATTAATTTTTTACTAAATATAAAAAATTAAAATAAAATTTCATAATAAAATTTGTTAATTTTCTATATAATACTTATCATCTTTCTTTATAATGCCATTTTAATCACTTTTATTATAGTAAAAATTTTGCTTATAAAGGCTGGCTATAACCGAAGAAGCATCAATAATTCAACCCGGGTAGATTGGGTAAAATTCTCAAGTCGGATGTCCGTTTGGTACAACTTCTTAACTACTTTAATTTTTTAATATTATTTATATTTTATAAATTTAAATTCTTTTAAATTTTATATTTTAAAATATTTTTTTAATATTAAAAAAACTTTAAATAATAAAAAATTAAAAATTTCAAATTTAAATTTTTTATAAATTTTATTTCTTTTTTTAAAAAT